CTGATTCATAATCAAAATCTTAATGGAATAAATTTGATTATCATCAACAATATCTCCCTTCATTACCTTCAATTCAATATAATATTGACAATAATAATCTCATCACCACCATTAATGTTCTCATTTTTTTTTTTTAATGTATCACTTCTAGACTGAATATATAAAAAGTATTTTAATATCTCAAACTTTCAATGAAACATAGGCAATTCCTATAATTCCACAGAATTATGCTGCGAATAAACTTTAGCAACATTCTCAGATGTATCAGAATATATCACTATATAAACACATTTCGGCTATATATATAGGACACAATCAACATCTTTAAACTTCAATATAATCTTAATTAATTATACAAAGGTAATAATTATAATCTCACAACAATAGACTGCAAATAAATTTTAACAATGTTGTCAGATGTTTCAAAATATATCATCATATAAAATACCTTTGAGCTAAATATATAAGACACATTCTAACACCTATAAACAAGTCAACTGGGAAGAGTGATTTATCAAAAATTATCTCCTTTGGGTAGATAAATTCTTTTAAAATCAATAAAATTTTCCTTACTAGCGACTCACACTACCTTTAAAATTAACACAAGCAATTAGCCCCATTTAGGTAGGTAATTGAGTGATATAATATTAACACACACAATTGACCCCCTTTAGGTAGGTAATTGATCATGAGTAATATAATATTAGAAGAGCTTTCCAAAATCCTTATTGGTAAACCACTTTAAATCTCAATAAGTTAACCACTTCGGCAGTATCACCCACATTGATTCAAAAATATTCCAACTGGGACTATATCAAATAATAAATATTTGTTTATTTTTAAAACTTTATTTAACAAATATGAGATTACATATGATTGTCAAGTTTTGTTATTGCATACTTGCAAATCACTACTTTAATTAGGCATTAATTGCTGTATAATGACAAATGAGAATTAACATAAAATTGAATTATTGCATTACATTATCATGTAAATTAAAATATGATTACCCACAATTAAGCAACCGTTTAATTCTATCAAGCAATAAACTTTTTTTGATCAACAAAAGATAAATTTTATTGATGAACCAAAAGAGGATTACATCAATAAAGAAAGCAATGAGTGCAAAGAGTATCAAAACGAAACAAACCAATCCCAACTAGGTTGGCACCGATAAATCCGCCCTATCATCTGCTAGCACACCATCAGAAGTTGGTGAGTATCCAACCACAACAAAAAAGCAACCACACTCGAAAAAACTTATGTCCAATTAAATAAATATTACCCATTAATTTGTTTAGACTTATAAACAATATACCACTAGCAAAATATGCACCACCCATATCAAAATTAAAAATAGAATAAGACCATTACCGAAAAATCACAAAACACACAGCAACAGAGTCTAAACTTGGGACAAAACATAACTATAATATTATATAAAATCACAACTTCTACCAAATATGAACAATCAAACACGGTCTTGTTCACGTCTAGTTTTCATAAAACTCCGAGATTTGAATTTTATTTTATTTTTATTTATTTATTTATTTTTACTTTAACGTTGTGATCCCAAAACAATTCTCAACAATGAATACTATGTATATGTAAGAACATTGAAAAGCTTTGGTCGCCCATTACCAGGCACAATGTTTCAGTAACAAAAAAACAAAAATTAATTTATTCCTTCTCATTGTATAAAAAAAATTTACTAAAATAATCTGTCAATGATTTTGATTCTAGTATAAATTTGCTCTGATACCACATGTAAGATTATAGGATCTATATACTAGAAATCAAAATACTATGAATATAATTAACTACTAAAATATAAACTTAGATACATACCATTTGATTTCATCATTGTCTTGAGTTTTGCTTTCTTGAAAAAAGATGGTATTCACAATTAGAAAACCATAGCACCAAATCTTCCCCTCCTCCTAATCTTTATGTTGTCTTTTCATTAGGACTAACAACCCTTTGACCTACATATATATAGATATATATATATACATACCCTAATAAGGATAGGAGACAGGACTGGACTTAAATAAAATAATTACTAGGCCCTCCCATTAAGGAACCCAAATAACTTAAAGCATGCATTACACCTCCATATCACATATCCACATATAAAATAATTAACACACCAAGATGGACCATGGCCCAAAACTTTATGGGTCACAATAATAATTTTGGGTTCATAACAATTAATCTGTCTGAAACACGTTCAACTAGTTTTCCACAAACTAAACAAAATATAGTCAATGGCAACCTAATTAATAACAAATTCTTACATTTCTAACGTTTGGTACCGTTGTGAGTTTCATGTTATTGTTTTTATTATTTCTTCCTTTATAACCAAAAACAAAAAATGTTTATTTCACATAGTTTCAAAATAGAAAAAGACAAACAATAAAATATGTTTAGTGATTTTTTGGAGATGGAGGTTTGGCAGTGGAGACCCGTGGTAGGATATGGCTGTAAGCACTTGGATGTGGTAGTCATGGTGGGGGTGGCCAAATATGGTTGTTGGAAGTGGGGGCTGGCAGTGGAGGGATTGCCGGAGGTGGTGGTAAAAAATGAGGAGTGACAGCGGAGACCAGCAATGTGAGTTGGCTATAAGTGACTAGATGTGATAGTCGATAGTATAGATGGCCAGAGATGTTCGCCAAATGTGTTGGCAGGTGATTAGGGGGAAGCTGGATGTGTTGGATGGCATGGCAAGGTTGACCGATGGGGTGTGGCAAGAAAAAAGTCGTTTATACTCCACAAAAATTGAAAATTTTGGAATTGTTGTCACTTTCACAGTGAAAACAATTACCAAATCAAACTTCAAAAACAAGAAATAAGAAATTTACCAAACAAGATGTAAAAAGTCCCCAGTAATCAAATCAATTGAACAATGCATGAAGAAAAATTGTTACAGAACAATCAACACATGGTTATATTTTCCTATTGGATCTCTGTGATACTAACAGATAATGACAAATGGGGTGTTCAAAAGCCCAGTGCATCGAGTACTGAGTAACTTGGAGAGGGACAGGATTTCCATTGTCATGTTCTACACACCTGAAAAAGGAAAAGAGATAGGACCAGAAGACGGATTGGTCGATGAAGAAAGACCAAGGCTATTTAAGAAGGTGAAAGACTACGCAGACACACACTGGGAATATAATCGGAGAGGAATGAAAGCACTCCATACAGCACAAGTATAATGTCCTTTTATATATCGTCCTCTGTCTTGTGCTTTGTACCAAAAGAAACCTAACTCCAACTAAGGTACTCATCTATGGATATTGATGGGCCCGTTATATAAATCCTATCTACGTATATATCTTTTTCTATGTGCCTATGCAAGAATAAAATTGTATTGGTGTGTTGATAATTAGTATCGTGTTCAAACGTGATAAAGAACTTATGACATTTTATTTGTAGTTTGATAGTGATAGGGCCACAAATCTATAAATTCCATGATTGATGATAAATTTGATGGCTGAAATATAAATACACAATTGTAAAATAGTAAATTCATATACTCAGTTAAGTTCGTTTACATTCTTAATATTAGCGTGTCGAATATGATAATTATGTCAATCTTATGGGGCTTGCAATATTTTTCCTAGTACTCAAAGGAGGTCAATGTAATTCACTCTTATTTTTTATTCCCTACTATATTTGACTTTGTAAGAATAAAATGCATTGGGGGTGTTTTCAAATGTTAGAAAAGACCTTACCACAAACATTTCATTTGGCATAATGGTAAAATTGATTAATTGTGGCCTAAACATCATTGGGTTCAGATTATGAAAACTGTCTTTGAGCATGTATACATCTAATCCTCCCAGATTTTGCAGTAATAAGAGTCTCATGCACTAGCTAACCTTTTTGTCTCATGGACCTTTCTAAATTCTAAACTCTAAATTTGTCCTCTAGAATCTTCTTATTTCTCCATATTTAGGCCACTATTTCCAAAAATTATCCCTAATGCACTTCTAACTATAAAATATGATGCTAAGAGGCTTCTAGCCTAGTGGCATCTACATGCCTCACATACGACAGATCAAAGGTTCGACTCTCATCAAAGGCGAGGTTGGGTCGCAGTGCTCTTTTAGCTTATATTTGTACACCTTGCCATCCGTTGCAATCGTTCCTTAGCAGTTCTCCTTCCACACACCCTTAAGAGTAGCCTAGACATAAATTGTATTTGGAATCCTAAAAAAGAGCCTAGTGCAAATCCCAAAACGCAAAAATCTTGATAAACAATGGTGTCTCAAATGTGCATTAGAAACAAAAATTTTGAGAACGAATTACAATAAAAATTTGCTAGCACCCATTTAATTGGAGTGGTTGAGAGGCAAGGCATTACAAACTTCATGAATGAGTAATGCTACAATGACCATCTTATTTTACCACATCTCAAATACCATTTTATGCTAGTGCAAAAGTCAAATAGCATATTTGTACCTTTTATTCATAATTAAGAGATTCCACCTCATCAATCCTCCAATCTATAAAGGCATATATAAAGCAAGGCATATTAAGCCTTCGTTTGGCATAAGCTAAAATGAGACTTTTTGACTAAAATAGTCACACAAAAACAAAATAAACTTTTTAACTTAATAAGACAAAATATCACATCTAAATCATAATCATTTCATTTTTTTTTCCCCTCACAAAAGTCAAAAATTGAAATTCTATCCCAAACGAAACTTTTTAGCCCCAAACTAAAATAACCAAAAAGCTAACTCATATCCCAAACGAACCCTAAAAGTGTAGTTTTTTGTAGGCCAAAAGAAAGTTGATCATATAAGAACACCCAAGACCAATGCAACACAACTACAGAATTTAAGAGCTAGTAAAAATAAATATATAAAAGAAATATTATTCTCAAGAGGGGAGAAGATAAAAAGGAACTTAATCGAGAAACAGATGGCATTACAATGAAAATTTGAAAACTAGCTGTTCTAAGTGTGAAAAGAAAACTAGGGCATACAACCTCAAACTCTCATCTGATAAGAATGATTACTTTCATCATCATCCTTACCATCACAATTATCATCAGAAATGAGGGAGCCAGCAAGAACAGCGGAGAGGGTCTCAACTCCAAAGAAGGTCCCAACAATGAGGGGTGTAAGCATGACAAGGGCACTAGGTGGAATCATGTCCTTGATGGAAGCATCAGTAGAGATCTTGACACAGATGGCACAGTCGAGCTTGGCAGTACCCTCCATAAGACCCGGGATGGTGTTAAATTGCCTTTGAACTTCCTCAACCATCTTTAAAGCTGCACTTCCCACTCTCTTCATGGTCATGGCAGAGAACCAGTAGGGAAGCATGGCACCAACAATCAAACCTATGAAAACTTTCGGGGTGAGAACATCAACAATTGAAATTGACGCGCGGCTCACAAATGCACCAAAAAGGGCCAATGACACCAGTGCAGCAGATTCAATGGCAAATCCCCATAAACAAATGCAAAATAAAATTTTGTTGGGGCCGAATAGTGGGAGTCGTAAAGAGGCCAAATAATTGGACCTGGAGAGTCAGAATATATATATCGCATTCGGCCCCGTCTCACACATTCAAATCCTACCCTATTCGGCCAAATAGCCAGTTGAGCAAGGGGCCGAGTGAAAAGCGGTTTGTAACAAAAGAAGCCGAGTAAATAGTTATACAGCGAATTAAAAGTAGGCCCAAGAAAGAAAAGATATAAATAGAAGAACATCAGCCAAAAAAATTATGTGAGAATTAGTACATTTGACTTAAGATACAAGTAACTAAGAGAGTATACATTGACTTAACCGTCGGAGTGCTAATTCCGGCAACCCCGACCGAAGTGTTCATTCTTTTTCAAGTGATATAGCTGAGGATCTCGAGCATCCTATTTGATCCTAAAAGTATTTCCAAACCACTTCTCCACAGTTGGCGCCGTCTGTGGGAGTACTCAAATACATCCATGGCGGGCGTAACAGAAGACCCTCCGATAGCCACTGACGAGACCACACAGAGAGACAACCTCACTCCAACAAACATGCTTGGACCGGAGACTATCGCCGCAAGGCACGCCTTGAACTTCGACTCACCCTCGACTTCAGTGCATGAGACAATGCAAGCGATCATAGAATAAGCAAAGCAAAACGAGCAGAGGTTGGAGAACATGATCGCTGAGAACGAACGTCTCGGTCAGGATTTGGCCTTGGAAGTGGCAAAGTCCAAACAAGCTGTGCGCCAAGATCCCGAACGGGCGTAACAGAAGACCCTCCGATAGTCACTGACGAGACCACACAGAGAGACGACCTCACTCCAACAAACATGCTTGGACCGGAGACTATCGCCGCAAGACACGCCTTGAACTTCGACTCACCCTCAACTTCAGTGCATGAGACAGTGCATGAGACAATGCAAGCGATCATAGAATAAGCAAAGCAAAACGAGCAGAGGTTGAAGAACATGATCGCTGAGAACGAACGTCTCGGTCAGGATTTGGCCTTGGAAGTGGCAAAGTCCAAACAAGCTGTGCGCCAAGATCCCGAACGACCTCTGAGGACAGGTGGTCGACGACCTCGAGCCTAACAACAAGACACTGACAGCGACTCTGACTCATTATTCCCAGAGCCCAAGAAGAAGGAACGACTCGAAACTACCAGTTCCTCCGAAGAGAGTCCACGTATAAGGCATAAGCGAAGACGAAATGGTTCAAACAAAGAGGACCAGCACGATCCCTTTGTGCGACGGATCGCAAAGGCAGGACTACCAAAGAAGTTCAAAGCCCCGTCGTTCACCTTGTACGACGGGAAATCGGACCTCACTGATCATATCCGTCATTATAAGCAAGCCATGACGCTGCATGCAGACGACGAGGCTCTCATGTGCAGAATATTTCCGAGCAGTTTAGGGCCATTAGCCGCCAGATGGTATTATAAATTGGAGCCGGTGTCGATCAAGAGTTTCCATCAACTACAGAAATCCTTCAGGGCAAGATTTATCACCAACGAGGTCCAGCCAAAGCAAGCCGACTCTCTCTGGGCAATGCAGATCCAGCCGGGAGAAACTCTACGAGCATATTCGGCATGCTATTGGGAATGTTTCAATCTTGTCGATGATGCTTGCAACGACCCCATGGCCATTACCGCCTTTAAAATGGGTTTGCATCCTGATAGTGCTTTTCGCAGTTCCTTGACTAGAAAACCCCCCAAAACAGTCTGGTCGTTGATGAAGAAAGTTGAGAAATACTGCAAAGTGGAATATGACGGCCTGCAAGTTAAAGCTGAAAACCTGGCCAACAAGACGGCCCCTTCTGAAATTGCTCAGCCGTTAAATTCTGTACCACCTCAGAGCCCTGAACCACAGTATAGGGCTAAACGAGACAAGAAACGGGATTCTTGCCGATCAAGCGACCAATGCTCCCACCGAACAAATGAACAACTGCAAGTCGATAGCAAGCGCACAAGGCGCACCGACAAGAAATATATGGAGTTATCAGAACCGATCAGCGCGATTATGTTCAAAGTCTAACACCTTTCGTTCTTCAAATGGCCGTCCAAAATGGTGGGACCTGCCGACACGAGAAGACGGGATAGGCAGTGCAAGTATCACAAGGATCATGGCCATGATATTGAGAGTTATTATGCATTGAAGGATCATCTGAAGGAATTGGTACAAGATGGTCGGCTATAATAGTACGTCCGAAAAGGCAACTCAGCCAAAGCAATAGCTGTAAGACAGGATTCACCTCCACTCAGCGTGATCCACATGATATACAGCCTGCCAATATCATCCGCGGTACATACGATTCAGTCGAATCCTGACCCTCAAAATCAACTCACTCCGGCTAAACAGCCCCGTGAAGCTGCTAGCATTGCTTTCAATGATTCAGATTTGGTCGGAGTGACACTTCCCCACATTGATCACTTGGTAATCGAGTTACGCGTAAACCGATTCACCGCTGAGCGCGTACTCATTGATCCGAGGAGCACATCAGAAGTTATGTATTATAAGACATTCACCTAACTCGATTTCTCCAAATCGGATCTTTCTCCGGCTCCTTATCCACTATTCAGCTTCAACGCCAATCCAGAATACCCGTTGAGGAAAATCACACTACCCATTCGAGCAAGCTCCCGAACAGTGGATGTGGAATTCTTGGTCGTCAAGCTGCCATCGCCGTATAATCTCATCATGGGGCGAACATGGTTGCATACCATGCAGGCTGTGCCAAGCACCTATCATCAGTTGCTACGCTTCCCGACAGAACGCGGCATTGAGCAAATCCGTGGCTCCTAGAAATCAGCACAAGCATGTTATCTCCTTATTGGAAAGACGCCAAAGGAGTTGCAAGTGAATTCTATTGAGGTGCTGAATCGGGAGAGCCTCGATGATGTTGGTAACTCCCAAGTAAAAAGGCCATGGAAGCCCTAGATCAAGTTGAAATCGACGGAAACCCAGATAGGTTCTTCATGGTCGGCGCTTCCCTGAATCAAGCCGATAGATAGCAGCTAATTTCCTTCCTGCTTGGCAACCTTGATGTATTTGCGTGGACTCCATATGAGATGCCGGGTGTAGATCCATCTATTTCACAGCACCGTTTAAATGTTGACCCTCAATGCAAGCCGATTATTCAGAAAAGCCGACGGTCAGCCACAGAGCACACTACCGCCGTTGTTAAAGAGATTGACCGATTGCTTGACGCCGAGGCAATCAGGGAAGTGACCTACCCTACATGGCTCTCGAACACTGTGGTTGTGAAGAAGAAAAGTGGGACTTGGCGAGTCTGCGTTGATTTCACAAACCTAAACAAAGCCTGTCCCAAGGATTGTTTTCCCCTTCCCAGAATAGACCAACTTGTAGATGCGATGGCACGCCATCAACGTATGAGCTTCCTCGATGCTTACAGAGGCTACCATCAAATTGACATGCATCTAGAGGACCAAGACAAAACTGCATTCCTCACCCCAAGAGGAACCTATTGCTATAAGGTTATGCCTTTTGGGCTGAAGAATGCAGGGACAACTTATCAAAGACTGGTCACTGCCATGTTCAAGGAGCAACTTGGCCACACTATGGAAGTGTACATTAGCAATATGGTGGTCAAGTCCAAAAAAGAGCAAACTCATCTAGCCGATCTGGAAGAGACATTCAGCATTTTACGCAAATACAAAATGAAGCTGAACGCTTCCAAATGCGCGTTTGGGATCGGCTCTAGCAAATTCTTGGGTTACATTGTTAACCACCGAGAAATCAAAGCCAACCCGAGGCAAATCACGGCAATCTTGGAGCTCGGATCCCCTTGTTCAGTAAGAAAGGTTCAAAAGTTGATGGGGATGGCTGTCGCACTCAACAGGTTCATCAGTCGGTCCACAGATCGCTGCCGACAATTCTTTCATACACTACGGCAGGGCAAGGCTTTTGAATGGCCCGCCGAGTGCGAAGTCGCTTTCAACGGCCTCAAGACCTACCTCAAATCAGTTCCACTCTTGACAACACCTTCGACAGATGACCCGCTCATTTTGTATCTGGCAGTTTCCGATCAGGCCGTCAACGCCGTACTGATAAAGGAAGAGTTGGGGGAGCAGAGGCCAGTGTATTATGTGAGCAAGGCAATGGTTGACGCCAAAACACGCTACCTTTCGTTGGAGAACCTCATCCTGGCCCTCGTCATGGCAGCGAGAAAGCTGATACACTACTTTCAGGGGCATACCATCGGGGTACTAACGGACCACCCCTTCCGGTCGGTACTCCGTAGTGCAGAAGCATCAGGGTGCGTTTCAAAGTGGGCTCTTGAACTCGGCCAGTACGATATTCAGTTTCTGCCTAGAACCTCAATCAAGGGACAGGTGCTTGCCGACTTTGTGGCCGAATTCACTGGGAGTCTTGCCAACTTCAAGTCTGATGAAATTCGACCTAAGCCGAACTGGAGAATTTATGTTGGGGACATTTGGCAGTTTTACTGTGATGGATCATCCAATCAACGGGGCAGTGGAGCCGGAGTGGTAATCATGGCTCCCGACGGCGCAATAATTGAGCAAGCCGTCAAACTCGGCTTCGATGCATCAAATAACGAGGCCGAATACGAAGCCCTTCTAACCAGTTTGTGGAATGCACATCTGCTTGGTGTTCGGCGTTTGCTTGTATTTTGCGATTCAAAACTGGTGATCAATCAGCTAAAAAGGTAGTACACAGCCAAAAATGACCGTATGGCGGCTTACATGAAAACGGCTAACTCCTTGCTGGCAAAATTTGACCATCATGAATTGAATCAAATAACACGAGATCAAAACACACATGCAGATGCCCTGGCTTGCCTAGCCTCCGC